GACAGGACTAGGTCAAGACGACATGTTGATGGAAATTTGCCGTTTCGGCTGGATAAGCTTACATATTACGGAAAGATAATCGTACTAAACAGGCGAAGATAATATTATATTTTAGGGTAAGATGATCTTACATAATTATTAAAAAGCTAAAATTATGAAAACGTCATCAGATCTATATATAATTAATATCCCTATAGCAACGCTCATGGGTATAACACTAGTATGTGATATAAAATCACTGACAAATTGGTTGAAAACACTGACAAACTGACTGAAAACACTGACAAATTGACTGAAAAAACTGACAAATTGACTGAAAAAACTGACAAATTGAATGAAAAAACAGACAAATTGGCTAAAAAAAAATGAAAAATTGACTAAGATACAGTATAGTTTCTGGAACCCGAACTCATTTTAAAGTGGCGATTCAAATTTGAGAACATCGTTAAAGTCCAAAGAGGTTAAAACCGGGTTTCCTTATTGAACACCGTCACATTCTAACCTATGGGAATCCTAATGCTCAAATTACGAGGGAAACAAATATCACTGGCGACATTTTGGAATTGATATTGAAAATTTAGTAACCCCAATAGAAACGTTTGGCAATTGTTCCCCAAGCCAATGTCGGTGCACTAATAAATGCCTGGAAGCTGGTGGCCACGTCTTCGAGAATCTGTTGTCGTTGTAGAGGCCAAAGGTCACTTATATTATATTATATTATATTATATTATATTATAGCTTGACATGTAAATAGTTCGGGGGCGGGGGGGGGGGATTTTTGAAAGACTTTTTTTTTATAAATTGAAATTTATGTAACAGTTTTAATGCCATGTTTATTTTTGCCAATATTTTAATGTAAAGCATGAAAGCATGGCGAACCCAGCCCTAGGCTGGAGTACCGCGCTATATAAGACCCTGTAATCATGGGCGCCCGCAGAAAACTTTGTAGTGGGGGGGGGGAAATCGATTAACTTTCCAGGGAGGGGCACACATTTTTTAGTAATGTATTAATATAGTTTTAATTTACTGTAGCGTATTTGTATGGTGAACGAACGGACAGGACATCAGCTTAGTTACTTTCCCTTTATTTTCTCTTTACTTTAATACATTTTTTGTCTAAAGATTTTTTATCCAATCAATCCAGGGGGGACAAGTGCCCCCCTTGCCCCCCCCCTGCGGACGCCCATGCCTGTATTAATAATACTAATAATAATATATCTGAATATATTTAGCATTAAAAATATGTATGACCATGTGCAGACTTCCTTTATTGCGTACTTATAACATAATGTTATTGACCATTCAAAAAAATTCAGCCCCCTGTTTTCTCAATTTGTGTCTAATCCCTATCAGTGGATCACAACCTTTTTTTTTTTTAACTCTCGCTGCCCTTTTGTAACAATTTTAGATGCGGGGTGACTCTTAGCCACATACCATGTTCAACAAGTTAATGGTGTTTAGGGGTGTTTAGAGGTGTTTAGAGGTGTTTACGGTTGTTTAAGGGTAGTGGTACGTGGGGAGTCACCTGCAGAATGTGCGTTCATTTGTTTTGATCTGAAGAGTAGCTCATCATGAACTTGTTTTTTGTTTTTTTTTGGTCAAGTTTGAAACAATGGACCTCACATCAGTTACTATAATGACCCAGTATATAATGATAAGGACTCCAAATCGACGATTAAAAAAAAACAAGAAACGACTTTGTAGCGCAGAATTCTAAAATCTGAGTTAATATTACAAACAAAATAAGTGTCTATCAGGCATGCGTGCTTAGCCCGCTCCTATATGTTAGCGAAAAATGGACCACATAATAATACCAGTCAGGAGCGGAAAATCAACAGCTTTCATCAACGATGTGTGCGTCGCATTTTGCGCATTCGTCGGCAGGACAGAGTGCCTAACGTGGAGGTTTTGGAACGTGCACACATGTTTAGCATATTCTCCTTTCTTATCAAGAGCCACCTTCGCTGGTTAGGTCATGTACGGAGAATGGAGGAAGGGCGTATCCCAAAGATATTGCTGTATGGAGAGTTGGCAGAGGGGACAAGACATATTGGACGACCGCGCCTGAGATTTATTGACGTTTGCAAACGAAGCATGAGGGAATTCAATATTGGAACAAACGAATTGGAGTTCATTGCTGAACATCGCTCCAACTGGCGAACAGCAGTGTTTGAAGGAATAAAAAATGCAGAAGTTACTCGAAACGAGGCCCTCGAGTCAAAAAGAACAATTCAAAAATCAAGAATTTACCGGGATTCAACATTCGCCTGCGAGAGATGCGGCCGTGATTTCCATTCAAGGATTGGCCTAGTGAGCCACTCGTCAAAATGTAGAACTATATAGCTACTCCATCGTCTCACGAAGGCGGATGGATGCCATATCACTAACTAGAGTAATAAGATTTGGTGTGTATCTTCCTGTAACTATTTTTTGGAAAGGAATGAGCTCTAAATAAGTGTTTTGGTCGATTACATTTTTTTTCATTAAAATGTTTTATCTC